AGTCCGAGACTCCAATCCTAAACTTGAAAAGAGAATAGATGGTTTGAATGACCACTTTAATTTTTACGTGTAGTGCTTGTTAATTGCCATATCAGAAAAAAATAAGGGCATAATAGTCACTTCACTTCTCATTATTTCAGTTTTAGATTTTAAGTGAGTCCTAGAGGATACGGGTAAACATAATAAGAAATTATTTATGCRCAAAAAGTTTAACAAGTGGATATGGTTTTAAATATAATGGATTGGTGAAATAGGATTCATGTAGGTAACCCTATTGGGATAAGGCATGGATGATGATGATTTTATGGGGTCCTAGACATGGGTGCCATTATTTGACCCCTTATTATCAAAACAAAATAAAATAAAATAAATTGATCATACTATTTTATTTAAATGGGGGCAATTGTGAAAAAAATATTTTTTTCATTATTTTATAAAATCATTTCAAATCTCAATGGGGGCAATTGCACACACTAACATAGAAATAGATCCATCAATCATCGGAAGGAATCTAAGAGTGACTCAAATAAGTGACAAAGTGAGAGAAAGTAGACAAATGATTTGGTCACATGTAGTGAAGACCATTCATATCACCCATGAGAAGTGATTCACATTCATTCCAAGTTAAATGAGCTAATAAGAAGACCAAAAATGATATGGACAAATTAGTAAGAAATGATTTAAGCACTTATTATTTAATAATGAATATGACAATAAATAGAACAAAAGGGAGAAACATGATTCATGTAGACAACCCCATATAGTTGAGATAAGGCTTAGATGATGATGATACAAATTCTAATATCTAAATCCATGAGTGATGTGATTGAATATCAAATTGGATGTTGAACATTGAGCATCCATTGACATCCTTGACCTGTTCCAATCCTTCACACATATGGCTAATTTTAGTGATAAAAAAAGTAATATATGGTTTATAATTTTCTAAAAACCTATTTATCGTTTCTTGACACTTTCTTGTTTATTACAATGCCCAAAAGGTATGATCTATAAAAAAACTTTGACCAATCAGAAAGTAATATGAGCTTGAATGAATACCAAGGGTATTTTGGTAAAACAGTTGCTTCTATTTTAATTTCATTTCTTTGTGAATATTCTGGTTTATTGGTCGTCGTGGTTGTCATCACTGGCGTCCTTGTCTAGACTTGTCCAACTATATATGGTTGTCATTTATCAAAAAAACAAATATAGAGGGTTGCTACATAAATTTTATTTTCACTATTATGTTCTTTTCAATGTCATGCCCGTGGTCAGCAGGGATGCAAATGGATTGGATTGGATGTGAACCAGGACATATTTGAACTCGACCCAATAAAGAATTGGCTTGATCTGACCCAAAGATTTGATCGTATCTCATAAATATTGATTTGAATTCGAATCTAATAAGGATATTAGATATCCGAATATGATTCAATCTGATTTAATTTAAAAAAATAACAAACTATTACAAGAAAAATAAAATATGACAGTTTAAATAAAGAAAAACAAAAAATACAAGTATATTTTTAACTATTTCGTCATATATATACATGTTTTTTATAAAAATTAAATTAATATAAAAAATTACAAAAATGCAATATAAATAACATTTATAAATATATATAATATTATATTGGGTCGGTAGGGAGTGATCCAATTCGTCTATTATCCGATCAAAAAGCCCGAAAGTATGAATAATTGAATCCGATAAAATAACATTATCAAAACGGATCATGATCCGATCCAATTGCACACTAGTGGTTAGATTATAACCAATTGCAAAGAAGTTAGGCAAAAGTTGTCCCATTGCTAGGAGAAATATATTCCGAAGGTAGGCAATATGGTGGCCCATGGGTAAGTTTAGCCTTGCTATTTCTAATGTTCACATACGCTTACTTTTTCACCACCTTTCTCGACAGAGTTGTTTTCAAGGATCAATGTACTTAGCAATGTGAATGAATGAATTTGCCTTTGGCTTAAAACCAAAAAAAGTAAAAAACTGTTTATATATTAATAATACTAGTAAGGGTGTGCACCTGGCAATTTTGATGATGACAATAAAGTCTTTTAAAAAATATACTAGTGGGGACTGGTGCGATGCATAGGATTTATTAGGCAAAAACTAAATAATAGAAATGGTCATTTACTAAAATACCCCTTACAATTTCATAGATTTACTRAAGTCTATCCTATAGTTAAAATTTTACTAAAACACCACTTATAATTTGCAATGGATTTAATTAATCATCCATTAGATGACAATGGAAAATGATAGTGTTGATCATAATGTTCATTTAAATAAATTTAATCAAAAGAAAATAAAAATAAAAATACCATTTTTGCCCTTTATAAGACACGGGGAACCACTTGGTTATATTTGGTTAATTTTGTTTTCTTTACAAAAAACAAGTGTTAAGGATATTTTTGAAATAAATAAATCATGGACCTAATGACAAAACAAACACTCCATAATGAAAGGTTGATTAACTAAATAAGTTGTAAAATATATTGGATGTTTTAATAAAATAAAAACAATAAAGTAGGTTTAAGTAAATATGTAAAACTATAAGATGTGTTCTAGTAAATGACCCTAATAGAATCACATAAGAGTATACAATTGTTTTATATTTACAACTTTTTAAATAATCAATAATTATTCATATTTTGTATACTACTTTTAATAAATTTTTTATAATACAAAAATAACAATAATTAATTTCAGTTAGGCTTATTCATCAAATTGTTGAAACTAACCAACTCGATCAACTCAACCCGAGTTGGTCGGTTTTCTAGTATTTTAGGTCGATTTTGGTTAAAAAATTTCTCAATTCGACCAAGTTGGATCAATTTCACTTTGGCCATTTGTAAACCAACCAAAATCAAACGACCTAACCATGGATATATATATATAT